TTCCTTTCCTGAATCTTGCTCTGTAGATCAGGCTGGCCTCAAACTGACTGGCTCTGCCTCCCGAGTGCTGGGATTAAAGGCCTGCGCCACCACCACCCGGCTCAAGAGGCTTTTCTTCTCATCTCTCTGACCAGTATTGAACTGGGGGTCAGCACTGGTCTGTCACAAGTGTAAGCCACCTGGGGAAGTGGCTCCGGTCCTCTCAGCTCTCTGGAGCTCTGACCCTCTTGAGGACTCTGCTGGTCAGGAGTTCTCTATCAGTTGTTTTTTTTTTTTTTTTGAAGGGGAGACAGAGTTTCTCTGTATAGCTCTGGCTGTCTTGGAACTCATTCGGTAGACCAGGCTGGCTTCCAACTCACAGAGGTCCACCTGCCTCTGCCTCCCTGAGTGCTGGGATTAAAGGCGTGCGCCACCACTGCCCAGCCCTCTATCAGCTTATTCGTGGTACCTTCCAGCAACTGGAGGCTGGCAAAATGCAGGAGGAAAGAGAGTGAGGGGTTGGAGTGCCTTTGGCTAGCTCCTGGAGGTCAGAGCTGGCTATCCTCTTCAGAGCTGCATGAGGAGTTGCATTGTACCATCCTTCAGAGGGCAGAGGGGGTGGCACTTGAGGCTCTAGGGTTGGCCAAGCCTCTAGGGAATTGTCCCCTTCACAGCCTTGGTTGGACCCCGAGGGCTGATGTTGGGAAGTTGGGTCTGCTGATGCACATCCCCGGGGCCGCCTTCTTTGCCTCGGAGTCCTCATGATGAGCCTTCTCTGTTAGCTTCTGTTTTACTAGATGCACGAGCAAGTCCTGCTGGAGAAGAGAGGTTGAGGGAGCAGGGGAGGAAGATGGAGCGAGTGGGCTGCAAAGCAGGGGGTGGGAAGTTCAGGTTGGCCCTGAACTCCAGGGTTCTAAACGGGGTTCCAGGACAAGGGGGACCCCAGCCTTGAAGCATCCAGAGGGCCAGTCCCTGCTGGCTTTTGTCACTGAGTGGGGGGTTGGATGCAGCAAAGCATGGGAGCCTGTGCTGGGGTGGTGCTCTCGGGCCTGGACTTGATGCTCTCTTTTCTTCTTTTGTAGTCGAGTCATCCTGCCTGTGTCAGTAGATGAGGTAAGTCCTGCTTCCCCTCGCCTCATCCATAGTTGTTCATAAGAACGTGCGAACATTGCTTAGTTGGGCTGCGAGTGGCCACTGTTGGTATAGCTTTCATTTATGTTCTAATAGAGAGATAACTGAGGCTCAGCTCAGATACTCCTGATGTTACTTCTACTAAAGGAAAGCACTTCTAGCCAGGCAGTGGTGGCGCATGCCTTTGTTTAATCGGGAGGCAGAGGCAGGGGCATCTCTTGAGTTCGAAGTCAGCCTGGTCTACAGAGCGAGTCCCAGGACAGGCTCCAAAACTACAGAGAAACCCTGTCTCAAAAAACAAAACAAAGCAAAAAAAAAACTAAACAGACAAAATAACCAAAACAATAGATAGATAGAGATAGATAGATAGATAGATAGATAGATAGATAGATAGATAGATAGATGGATGGATAGATAGATAGGAAGGCACTTCTGTGGTGAATCTGGTACCTGAGTACAACCAGTCTCAAGCTCTTGGCTTGCTGGATAGCTTTGAACAGAGACAAGCAGCTCTGGGTCTGCTGGGACTGAACTACGCGGGACATGTGATTGATAGCTGCAGTGTGCATGTGTGGGACCTCCATGACTAGGCTGAGGACAGGGCTTTCTGGTTAATGGTGCTCTCTGCTAAGAAGCAAACCAGCAAGACCAGAAGTGTCTTGAGTCCCCAGCCATGCTAGGTGGCTGCTGGAAAGACCAAGGCACCGAAACCTCCTTTTACGGCGGGCAGAAGATGACAAATGGGCTTGGTTTGTCCCGTCCTTTTATGGTTCCGAGGCCTGACAGCCCCGTGCCTGTGGAGCTGGCAGCAATAGTCGCCACAAGAAAGTCCATAGGCCCTGCTGACTCAGAGCTGTCTCTTGGATAGCAGAGTGCTGTCATGGAGCCTCCCTTGTCCCACCCTTCCTCTGAACTTCCTCTTCTCCCTTCCTGGCCAAGCTTGTTCTCGACTTTCTCCTGAATCCACAGTTCTACCCCAGCTTCCAGTGAAACGAAGGCCAGCCTGAACCCCCAGTTGTTGGCACCCTCTCTTTTTCCCCAGTTGTTGGCACCCTCTCTTTTTCCTGTAGGGCCCGTAGGAAACTCCTGCACTCCACACAGAAGCTGGACCTCCAAGAAATGAAAGCAGGCTAGCCGAGCCCGAGCATTCTTTAAACATTTGCTTTTATGTGTGTGTGTTTCTCTCTTTGTGTGTATGTGTATGTAATATATGTGGGGTTAGAGTCACAGGGGCTGTGAGTTGCCCATTGTAAGTGCTTACAGTCAAGCACAGGTCCTCTAATGTGGGCAAGTGCTCTTAACCACTGAACCATCTCTCCAGCCCTGTGGGAGCATTTAGATGAGACAAATCACCCCCATGAGTGATGCCCATGCATTGGTCTCGGAGAGGATTGTCTCTAGTGGAGTACTGAGTCCTTCAGAAAGGCTACGGAGATCTGGGAAAGAGGGACAGATGTGAACTTGAACATGGTCTGAGAAATAAAAGAGACATTTGGGTGCCAATGGCAGAAGAATTAACATAAAGAGTTTGAGGCTAGCTTAAGCATATATAGCAAGATTCCATCTCAAAATCAAGTAAATTAATTAATTAAAAAATAGAAGCTGGGCAGTGGTGGTGCACGCCTTTAATGCCAGCACTCAGGAGGCAGAAGCAGGCAGAACATTGAGTTTGAGGCCAGCCTGGTCTACAGAGTGAGTTCTAGGACAGCCAGCGATACACAGAGAAACCCTGTCTCAAAAAACAAACAAACAAAAAGAAACAGGAAAGAAAAATAAAGCCGGGTGTGGTGCCTAAGTTTAATCTTAGTACTCAGGAGTCAGAAGCAGGCAGATCTCTGAGTTCAAGGCCAGCCTGACCTACAAAGTGAGTTCTAGGACAGCCAGGGCTACACAGAGAAACCTTGTCTTGAGAAAGAAAATAAATAAAACAATAACAAATAAGTAGTGGGGAGGAGGGAGGAGATGGACAGACAGACACACATATATACATTGAGGAACCTAAGGAAAAAATAATAGATAGATGCTGTGATATGTGGAACCAACTGAGATAAAACCAGGTGCCTGGGTATTAGCTTTGGGAGAGTCAACCCACTTCCTCTGAGGGCCTTGCTGTCAATATTAAAAAATATTGAGTTCAAGGTCATCTTGATCTACACACAGACCTACGTATATCAGTCTAGCCAGGGCTACATAGTGAGAACCTATTCTAAAGTGGAAAAAAAAAGTCTGTGTGGTGGTGGAACATGACTTTAATCCCAGCACTCAGGAGGCAGAGGCAGGCAGATCTTTATGAGTTCAAGGTCAGCCTGGTCTACAGAGTGAGTTCCAGGACAGCCAGGGCTACACAGAGAAACCATGTCTCGAAAAACAGACAAGAAGGGCATGTAACATGGTTTCCTAACAGAAGGCCTCTGTGTCCCTTACCTTGAAACTTAGGCGGTCCAATGGCTGTCTCACTGCTGTGCAGGATCAATCAGAAAGTCCCTCAGGAGTGTGGGACTGACTTCATGTGGGATTTCAGGTACGATGGATCAGTTTGTGGGGAGTCTCTTGATGGGCCAGTGGCTGAGACTGTGAGTGTGCTGCAGAACGGGGCTGGAGTCATCTGGGAGCACCCCTCTGCTGCTCTGACCGCTCCTGCTGGCCCCACGGTTGGAAGGATGGGGAAATGCCCACCTTGAGAACATCCTCGGCTGGCAGCTTTTAGCTTGCGTTGTTTTTGCGGGATGGAGGAAGTGGTGAGACAGAGCCTGACCAAAGCTTGGCAAGTGCACGCTGGTTCAGAGTCTGTCTGTCTGTGTGGTGCTGGTCAGCCTGCTCTTAGCAAGAAGGCATTGACAGGAAAGCAGCAGGGCTGCAGGGGTGACGCTGCTCCTTTGGTAGCTTGAACCTTCGTTCCAGATGATTAGAAAATTCTAGAATGGGGAGAGTGAAGAAGTAAGGAACAGCGTCTCTGTCAGTAACCCCTTTCTGACTCATCGTTCCCATGAGAACGGCCCAGCATCATGTGACTGGTAGATTCACTTCCTATACTGGAGACTTGAGTCCCTTAGAGCTTCTGATTTGGGGAGGAAAAAAGGAAAGGAGAAGGTCATAGCTTTATGGTCATGCTGATGACCTGAATCGATATTTGGGGGCAGAATTAGCTTGTTTGGTCAGAACCTTTAGTGTAACACTGCCTCGGGTTTCCAGGCATCCTGTAGCAGACAAGAAAGCACTGTTCCATATGGGTGTGTCCACCAGCGGTTCCTGGCCCACCTTGTGTGGACAGGCAGACGCATGGCATCATTCCTCATGAACCTGGCCTGACAGGGCTGTATGGGCGGGTCAACAGAGTGCTGCTTTTCTTGCTTTTTTTTTTTTTTTTTTTTTTTTTTTTTTTTTTTTTTTTTGAGACAAAGTCTTACTGTATATTCTTGGCTAGCCTGGCGGTCAGTATGTGGCCCAAGGTGGCCTTAAATTCATGGCAGTCCCCTTTGCACAGCTTCGTGTGTGCTGGGATCCCAGGTGTGGGCCACTGAGCCTAACTGTGTTTTTATTATGTGTGTCATTCAGTGGTTTTGCTCCACATTTCCTCCCCCACGGTTCCTACTCACTGATTACCCAGTGGCAGACTCTCTGGTTTGCGTCATGAGTGACTTAGTCTATGGGAAGAGGGGGCAACTCTGTAGGGCAAGGTAACATGGTTTTCAGGCTGAGGAAGTTGGAATGGTGGTCTCCCTGGGGCTCTGTATCAGGTTTTGTGGTCTGATCCCCACCCTTACTGCCACCAATCCTGAGTCTGGCAGCCTCCCAGGACCAGCCAGAGGGGACCTTGTGACGTGAAGATCTGTCTTCTTTACCTCTTTGGATTAACAAAACTGCCTCACTTGTCTCGTTGGGATTAAAGGATCAGCATATCAAGAGAGATTAAAGGGGAAGAGGCCAGCACGCAGACTGATCCTCTTAGGGCCCGCCCTGTGATTTCCTGCAGCTGAAGGGAATCCCTGAAGACCAAGGTCTCTGCCAGCGCGGCCCCTCCCCCAAGGGGCACCACTAAAGCTGCAGCTAGTCCTGTCTGCAGGCCCTCTCCCCAGCCTGCCCTTTCGGATTTGCTGAGTCAGTCACTCCGTGTCCTCACGACTCTCCAGAGCAGAGTTCCTGCAGCTTCCTATGAGGAGTCTGGCTCAGCCAAACCGGGACCCACTTGATGTGGGTTTCAAGTGTGTCTCAGCAGGTGAGAGGACTGGAAAGGAACAGGGGCTAGCGTGGGGTCCATGAGCCCCCAAAGCAGCACTCATTGCTCAGGATTAGCAAGATCTAGGTAACTGGCTCACTCTCTCAGATGCTCCTCTTGATGGGATTAGCCGAGCTTGATCACTTACCTGGGCCTTTTCTTGGCGTTCTGTGCTGGGCGTTTTAGGCTTTGTGGTAAGCAGCCAACTATGCCTTTTCTTCTAGATGTCCCTAGAAGTTTCCTCGCAGTGCTTAGGGAGCTGAGGTGAGAGGGCTTCCCGGGGTGACGAGCAGACCTGCTCATGCTCACAACAGTGCCTCACAGTGGAGTCAGTGGTGGAGGCCAGAGCTGCAGCCACTTGATTTTAATCCTTGGGAGAGAACACCCCTAGTCTTAGCCCTGGGGTACCAGGGGTTCAGGGGAGGGTGTAGAGGACAAGGAAAGCTCTGTGTCCACCCCAGCAGGTGGGTAATGGCTTTTCCTTGGCCTCTTGCCCTTGGTGACCATGAGGAAGACGCATCTTTTGGAATAATGTGCTTCCCTGCTCTGTCACAGCTCATTTTCTCTGCACTGCTCCTTTTCTTTCTTTCTTGTTACTTATTTATTTTGTTTTTGAAACATGAGCTCACTGTGTAGCCGTGACTGTCCTAGAACTTGTTATGTTGACTAGGCTGGCCTTGAACTCACAGAAATCCGCCTCCTCTGTCTCCTGAGTGCTGAGATTACAGGCCACTGTGCCCAGAGTCTTCCATGTTTTCCGTCTCCAGATAACTTCTCTTAGGATTAGGAGTTGAGTGGCCCGGACACTGCTGCTAAGTCATCAGTCCACACCAAGCCTCCCAAGGGGTCAGAGAAGGCCGGTGACTTGATAGGGTGACATGTGACCCAAATAAAGGAAAACCAGGCTTTTGCCATCTAGCAACTGCCAAGGCAGAGGGGCACGAAGCCAGCCGAGCCTGGGGGAGGGATCTGTAATGCAGGAAGCAGGAGCATGGCTTTGACCTACCAGGAATGGGGAAATCTGGAGATGTCTTGTTTGTGAGGTTTTGAGGGCCCTGCAGACTGAGGAAAAGCCACACAGGAGAAAAAGCAAGTGGGCTGAGCCAGTTTTTGCCTGAGGTTGTGGGCTACACTGGACGACTTTCTTGGACAGGAAGTCCGAGTCTTGGTTTCTGATCATTTATGTATTAATTTTTCTTGTTGCTTTTGGGTTTCATTTTGCTTTTTATTTGTTTTTGGAGACAGGGTTTCTCTTATGTAGCCCTGGCTATCCTAGAACTCTCTATAGACCAGACTGGCCTCAAACTCAAGGATCCGAGTGCCTCTGCCTTCCAAGTGCTGGAATTAAAGGCGTGTGCCACCACCACCGCCTGGCTGTTTTGTTTTGTTTTTTGATACAGGGTCTCACACTGTAGCCAGAGGTAACCTGGGACTCGCTGTAGCCCAGGCTGCATCATACTCTCGGCAGGCCTCCTGCCCTAGCCTCCTGAGTGCTTACAAGGATGAGATGCTATGCTTAGCTTTAGGGTCTGTTTAAGTAAGTGAGATAGAGAGATTTTTTAGCAACTAACAGATCCTGTTTTGGGGTCTGATACCAGAGCTGGGTCCAGGCCAAAAGAGACCTTGGACTCTATAATGTTTTCTGGGTGGTGCTGCGAGATTAAGTATAGTCTATGGTCTCTTCAAACTCGTGGGTTTGTAAAACTGGGAAGATGAAATTGAATACTTCTGATGGGTAAAGAGAGTCTGCAGTCCCAGCTACTTGAGAGGTTGCTGCAGGAAAACCAAACAGAGGGCTGAGGAGATGGCACAGTGGTTGCGCACTTACTGAGCAGCCTAGCATGCTTGAGGCCCTGGGTTCGATCCTTAGCACTGGGGGGAAAAGAAGTGGTAGAAGGAAGCAAAAGTAAAAAGGGAGAGATGCCGCGGTGCAGAGTTCTCCACTGCTTTGGAAAGACTTGGACAAGGGCCACCGTGAACCGCAGGTGGAGGTCCTGGACTCCAGTGTAACTGTTGCAAATAATGCCTGTCTCTCTGGTTTTTTAGTATCAAGTGGGGCAGCTGTATTCTGTGGCTGAAGCCAGTAAAAATGAAACTGGTGGTGGGGAAGGTGTGGAGGTCCTGGTGAACGAGCCGTATGAGAAGGATGACGGCGAGAAAGGCCAGTACACACACAAGATCTACCACTTACAGAGGTACGTGCCCCAGGTGGCTGGGCGGGAATATGGGGGTATTGGCTAATTGGGAGTGTCTCCAGGTTATAAACTGGCAGCCCAAGTTGCTTCATCTCTCGGATTGGTTATGGGTTGTACTTCTTTGTTTACTTAAAGATTTTTTGTTATTAAAAAAAAAGTAGCTCCAGTCCGATCACGCTCTCCGTCCTTAAAAGCTACTTTGAGCTGTTTTGGCATCTTGTGGGCCCTTCCTTGTCCTGAGTTCAGGAGTATGTGTGGAGTGTGTATAAACAGGCACTGGTTTCCTCTATTAGGTGTTGAGCATACCATACTAATCACCCTGTTCTTTCCTCCATAGTTATCTCTCATATCATAGCTGCCTTTCACAGCATTTCCTGCCTGGGTGGTTGCTGGGGTTCAGCCACTTAACGGCTGTGCTCAGCCCCTTAGCTCTCTCCCCAGCCCCTCTTGCCTTATTCTTTCTTTCTTTCTTTCTTTTTTTTTTTTTTTTTTTTTTTTTTTTTTTTTTTGGTTTTTTTTCGAGACAGGATTTCTCTGTGTAACTTTGTGCCTTTCCTGGAACTCGCTTTGTAGACCAGGCTGGCCTGGAACTCACAGAGATCCACCTGCCTCTGCCTCCTGAGTGCTGGAATTAAAGGCGTGCACCACCACCGCCTGGCACCTTATTCTTTCAAAGCATGCAGAAGAACCGGGCATGATAGTGCTTGCTCAGAATCTCAGCACCTGGGAAGCTGAGACAGGAGGATGGTGAGTGTGAGACCAGTTACAACTATGTAACTAGTTCCAGGGCAGTCTAGGCTACAAAATGTCTAACAAACAAACAAGCAAAACAAGCACCAACAAAACCAAAGAAACCAAAACCTCCCAATGAATAAGTAACATAATTAAGAAGGTCCAGCTCAGGGTTTGTTGTCCAGATGCTGTAAGCTGTTTGAGCAGCCCTTTCCTGAGATATAGTTTATAGTAATTTCCAGATGCTTAAGACTCCTGCAGAACTACTTCTGCATACTTCTTTTGATATATTTATAAATCTGTAGTAAATGCAGTAAAAAGTGTAGTTGTTAGGTCAGATAGTATTTAAATTCTAATTTTGTTGAATCAGATGCCAGAAAAAGTTTAGTACCTTTCTCTCTTTTTTCTTTCTTTCTTTTTTTTTTTGGTTTTTCAAGACAGGGTTTCTCTGTGTAGCTTTGTGCCTTTCTTGGAACTCAATTTGTAGACCAGGTTAGCCTCGAACTAACAGGGATCAGCCTGCCTCTGCCTCCCAAGTGCTGGGATTAAAGGTGTACACCATGACTGCCTGGCTCTTTTTTGTTTGTTTGTTTGATTTTTTTTCCCCCCTGAGACAGGGTTTCTCTGTGAAACAGTCTTGACTGTCCTGGAACTCACTCTGTAGACTATGCTGGCCTGGAACTCACAGAGACCCTCCTCCTTCTGCCTCCTGAGTGCTGGGATTAAAGGTCTATACCACTATGCCCAGCTATGGCATTTTAATATTTATTTTGTTTGAATTATGTGTATGTGAATGCAGATACCTGTAGAGGCCAGAAGAAAGGTTTGGATCCCCTGGAGGAGCTGTAGTTACTGGCTCTTATGGGTTTCTGATGAGGATGCTGAGAACCAAACTACAAAAACAATGTTTCCTAATCATTGGGCCATCTCTCCAGCCCCTTACCACTGTTTTTTACATTTGTGTATGTGTGTGTGTGTGTGTGTGTGTGTGTGTGTGTGTGTGTGTGTGTGTGGCAGGGTGTGTGTATGGAGGTCAGAGGTCGACTTTTCGGAGATGTTTTTTTTTTTTACATGTTTTTCATGTATAACGTCATACCGAAAAACATAGATTGAGTCAGCTCGTCAATGTTTTTTACATTTGTGTATGTGTGTGTGTGTGTGTGTGTGTGTGTGTGTGTGTGTGTGTGTGTGTGTGTGTTAGTTCTGGAGTGTACTACATGTGTGTTGAGGTCAGAGGACAACTTTCAGGACTTGTTTTTCTCGTTTCCAGTACGTAGGTCTGGGGATTGAACAAAGGGCATCAGGCTTGGTAGCAAGTACCTTTATCCACTGAGCCATCTCTAGTCAACATTTAAATATTTTTTCCAAGATGACAAAAATATAGTGGCTGGCCTAGAACTCACTCTGCAGACCAGGCTGACCTTGAACTCAGAGAACCACCTGCCTCTGTCTCCCAAGTGCTGGGATTAAAGATGTGCGCCATCATGCCCAGATACCCTATTATTTTTATTTATGTTTCTGTGTATCGTGTGTGTGTGTGTGTGTGTGTGTGTGTGTGTGTGTGTGTGTGTGTGTGTGTGACACACCTTTGGAGGGAACCACACTTGAATCTTCTTGAAGAGCAGCACTTGCTCTTAACTTCTGAGCCACCTCTCTAGCCACCCCTCCCCTTTTAATTTATTGAAAGATTTTTTTTGTTTGTCTTTTGGTTTGTTGAGACAGAGTTTCTCCATGTAGTTTTGATGCCTGTCCTGGATCTCACTCTGTAGACAAGGCCTTGAACTCACAGAGATCCGCCTGGCTCTGCCTCCTGAGTGCTAAGATTAAAGGCACCGCCCGGCAATTTTTTTCCCCAGTATTTTCAAATAACTTTGGAACTCACTTGTGTACTGGAATTTATAGTAAACCACACATATTTGCTGAATCCCAAATCTAAACAATTTTATAGCAAACCATGACCCAAAGGGCCTTGAAACCATCTGTGAGCATTTACCAACTTGAATGGAAGTCAACCAGACTGTTTAAGAAATGACTCAGAGCTGGCGGTGGTGGTGCACGCCTTTAACCCCAGCACTTGGGAGGTAGAGCAGGCGATCTCTGTGAGTTCAAGGCCAGCCTGGGCTACAGAGTGAGTTCCAGAAAAGGCGCCAAAGCTACACAGAGAAACCCTGTCTCCGAAAAACAAAACAAAAACCAAAACAAAAAAAGACTCAGTAGGGCTGGAGAGATGGCTCAGCAGTTAAGAGCACGAGCTACTCTTGTAGAATATACCTGAGTTTGGTGCCCAGCACCCACATCAGGTAGCTCACAACTGCCTATGACTCAAGCTCTAGACAATCCAGTGTCTTCTGGCCACCGTGGACACCTGCACCCACGTGTACATACCCACACAGACATGCATGCATACACATAAGAACTTTTCATACAGGCCTGTGACTTGAGT